AATTCAGCGACAATGTAGTTAAAGTAGGAATCTCACTAAAGAATTTATCAAATACTTCAGCTACCTCCTGATTAGTCGTTATAAATTTATTATCAATGTTGAGTTGGTAGTCAGACCTACGTGATTTGGTTTTTCCTGTTTCACTATTTATAATGTTCCAAGTCATTTTTACTTTATTAGAGGCATTTTTAATTTTATTTCTCAAATGTAATGACTTGGCGGCAAGACACACTTTTTTAAATATTTTTGAGTAATTTTTAACATAATCTTTAAATGTCTCAGAATGATTGTAAGACCTTTCACTGTAAAGTTCATACAATCTTCATCTACTGCGGTGAATTCCTGATGTTGCCCATTCATTAAAAGTCTTGCGACTGTTCAAAGAGAATGTTTTAGAAGTAAAAACGGCATTGTATTCGATTTGTATGAAATTAAATAATGAACTATACAAGGCGTTAGCATTGTCATAGTAGGGCAGCATAGGTAGTTTTTTTTATTAAATTACTTCTAAACTTCTCCTTGCGATATTTATTTATCGGAACAAACACAGCTTTCCTAGTATCTTGCATTTTACAGTGCAGAGGCAATGTGACAAACTGCCCTGAATGGTCAGAACTTAATTTATGTATTATTAGTCTTTGCAATGGTTTGACATCTGTAAAAATGTTATCTATACATGTTGCACTTGACTCTGTTATTCTTGTAGGCTCAAAAAACAAGTTGAAAAGATTAAATGATTTTAACAATGAGCAGAATATAAGATTCTGCTCATTGTTATCATTGCCTCATGGAAGAAGCTTCTAGGAGATTAATATTAAAGTCTCCGCATATGACGACAGATTTATTCTGTTTATGAAGTTTATGTAAAACTTCCTCCATGATTTTTTCAAAACGTTCATACAAGGCACAGGGCGGTCTGTAAACACTAACAATAATGAGATGCTCAAGCTCAACACAAGCCATTTCTATAGTTCTCTCAACAGAGAGGCTCACAATATCCTTACGCTCCTTATATGACAAATATCTATTTAATAATATTAAAGACCCACCACGTAACACTTTTTCTCTATTGAAAGAACTAACAACCTGGTGTCTACTGAAGTTCTAAAGGTATTATTTTTTAACCAATGTTCAGTAATACATAAAATATCAACATCATTGCTATTTAAAAACAAGTCAATTTCTAAATCTTTACCTTGAAAACTTTTCTGTGAAATAGAATATTTTTTTTTATAATTCATTACATAAATGTCATTGCAAGAGATTTCCTCTTTTGTCTCAATAATTAATTTAAATTAGTTGGAACGGATTCCAAATTACATATTAAACTATTAAGCTGCTCAATAGGAGCAGATGATGGTGTAGCCAAACGCTTGGCTAAATTAAAATGTAAAAAATAAGATAGCGCATTTGCTATCAGTCTTAAATTAAATTTTGATAGGAAATACCTATCTTTTGTTAGATATTTTTTAATTATGGTATTAATGTCAAATATATGTAATTTGTCAGTATCATTATTTTGACATGTCAAATTCACTGAATTATTACAGAATAAATTGCTTAACTGCAAATTAATGTCAAATCTTATTTTGTTTTCATGTGGCATATCCCTTAAAAAAGGCAATGTAAACAAGAAAATTTTATGAACATTTAGATTATTTACATCTTCCAAGTATTTTAACAACTGTCCTTTGTTAACATTGCCCCTTGTCCCTATCAACAACACTAATATGGTGTTGGGACAGAAAGTACTACATAAGACCTTTTGAATTATGTCATTAAATGATGCTCCTGGCATGCAATAATTTGTAATTTGGCCCTTAAAAGTTTCATTTATTAATGGGCCAATATTTTTACCTAAGTCATCACTATAAACAATAATATTATTCTTAATTGAATTCATATCTTTAGCTATGGAACCGCCATAGAGATCAGCTTTGCCAGTCAAGCTATTATGACTAACAATATTTTCACAATTCGTCTGCGAAAGAACTGGCATTGAGCGCTGACACTCACAGAATTTGTTTGACAAAGACTCAAAGCGCTCCTCATTATGCTTACATAACATAACCAGCTCTTTCACAGCCAAAATGTGCTGAGAAATCTCCTTTTGGGCCGATTTATATTTATTTGTTATAATTGTAAGAGAGTTATATAATTCTGAAATTTCAGAGTTAAGTCCTTCTATGTCAGCCTCATAGCTAATTCTAATATTATCCACCTCAACCGAATACTGTTTTACTGTAGAAATTAAGTGTTGTTTCTCTTTACAAAGTTTTACATAGTTTTTAGTATTAATTTTACTTTTAATTAATTTCTGAACTTTAATAGTATATTTATTAATTTTTACATATTTCCTGAATTTATTTCTGCTGCATGGGATTCTTGTTTTTGATCTTGATGTTGTACAATCATCGCTAGTCAAGTCTATTACAGTACATGCATTTTGAGGGTTACAAGATGGCTGCAAATTGACCAGCTCATTGAACAGGCTCTGAGTCTGGCAGGCCTTTTGGTTGTCTATGTAACAATTTAACTGTGAAATTTGTATACTGGCCTCGTGTAATTGCAATTTCAGTTGCAGAATTGAGTGTGAGAGCTTCCTCATACTCCTTTCTGCATTGGTCAAACTCATTGACGGTTCCCTGTAACTGGTCTTTTTCCCTTAACAAATTTAAATATTCTGTATGTAGTTGAGACATTTCATATTTTAATTGGCTATTTTTCCCAATTATTTCTATTACTTCTTTTTCATTGTCCTCCCTTTCCTTGAGTAATTGCTCACACTGCTCCTTGGATGCCTTAAGTTCTTGAAGCACGAGTTGGAGTTGGTTTTCCATTTGGCGTGCCTTGGCATTGCGAGTATTCATTTTAATATATTAATATTTATAATTAAAGAAACCCAAATAATTGATTAAGTAGCAGAGTAAGCAAAAGGTTAAACGTTAAAGCTGCTATCGTCGGTCTCAGACAGAATTACCAATAGAATAATTCAATATGAAACCGAACAACTAACAATAAAACCAATAAAATATAATTATTAAATGAAAATAAATAAAATGTACAGAAAGGGATGACAAGGAATTACATAAAATTTAAAAGAAAGTTCGTTACCTGTCGTTGTTTTGATTTACTCAATTGAAAAAACAACACACGGATATTTGTAACTAGTTATTCTACTACATTAATCTTTGCTTATAATTTGAAAATCATATGATTTTGAGGTGGATATAAACAATTTACAATTATAATTTAATTAAAATGTTGGAGCAAAATTTTGTACAAGTTATTGCCAGGGTTGCCACATCAAAAAAGTAATACAGTATTAGATGAATTTAGCCCTTGTTTAACGTTAAGCTGTTACAATTTTCGTTCTATTTCGATCGTGATACTAATACCACCAGTTTTTAAAGGATTACTTCGTTGTCTTGAAATGTCTATCACCTTAATTTAAAGCAAGAGCATATAAGTGTAAGGACTAAAAGGATCTAAATATTTAATTTTTTTATGTCGCCCCGAATTAGTAATTGTCTTATTCCGTGGCAGACATAGACTTCATATACGCTAATTCTCAGCCCTGAAACAAATAAATCTTGAAAAGAATCCACGACACATTTATCAGTAGCCAATAAATATGCACAGCCACCGCACCAAACGCGCATGATATTCTTATTACATTCATTGTAACACATGCATGGAATGCTCTTCCTAGCTTTACAGGGTATACAAATCAAAGCAACTTTAATTATTTCGTAACCTAAACATAAATATTTATTACTTTAATTTATTGAGAGCCGTGATAGCTCAGTGTCCGGGCGCTCGCCATTAATTCAATATACTCGAGCAACCTGAGGTCGATCCCCGGTGCCGGCACCAATGAAATTCGTAATTTCATGTGCTGAATTATCACGTGCTCAGCGGTGAAGGAAAACATCGTGAGAAAACCTGCATATTTTCGAAAAAATATTTCGAATTATAAAAAAAAATATTTCGAAGATATGTGAAGTCCGCCAATCCGCAGTGGGGCCGCCTGGTGGACTATGCCCTGATACTCTCTGTACAAAGGAGGCCTTTGCCCAACAGTAGAACATGTATAGGCTGATGCTTTACTTTTTTTTTACATTACTTTAACTTTTTATAGACTTTTAGCAATCGTAAAATTGTTTCAAGATTATACAATATATAAATGATAATACCTAAGAGTACGTTTCGTTCCGCCTTCATGTTTCAAAGGACAATGATGAAATCTTATCTAAGAAAAAATTAAGCGTTTAAAAAATTTTATTCAAGTTTCTAAATATAATTTTTTCTACAATTTTTCGGAACATTAACTTCGGTTGTTAAACTATGTATAAAATATGTATTTATTAACAACTCAATTGACTTTTTTGAGCTCCATGTTGCTCCTGTTTTACTTTCTCTCATACTCATTTTGAGTAACTTGGTGCCAGCCAGTGTTTTTACTTTAAAAGAAACATTTGTACATTGTACGTATAATGGAAGTTATATATGCTGTAAAAAATATCTTCAGCGCAACAAAAAGCAAAATAACTAAAAATTTTATCCTCGGTAGAGATTGATGTGCGCGTGAATCGTAAAAATGATTATTTTTTATTTTTCCAACCGCGTCAAAATGAGTTATAACTTTAAAAAAGGTAATAAATATATAATACTTAAATATATTTATTTGTACCGAGAGTTATCACCTTTGTTATTAAAATACATGAGTCTTTGTTAAAATTCTGCATACCTAATCTTCTCAAAAATATTATCTTCCTGGGCAGTTATATGTCTGTGAGTTTTAGCCTCATAGGCTACAAGTGCGAGAGTTTAGGTATTTTTGTCTGTATTACTAATTGCTTATTTTTACAAATACTTTTAATAAGGTTTTTTATACTTTGACAGTTAGAGAAAATTTATAACTTTCCTCCAAGAAATGAGCCGAAACTCATTGTATTAGCTGAGTTCACAATGGATCACCAGATTTTGACAGCACATCAGTTCAATTTTAGCTTCACTAATGTTTGATGGGAAATGCCTCTGACTGTAGCGTATATCAAGATAATGCATGCGCCAACAGCAAAGGCTATGAAGCATAACAGGACCGTCACTAATTCCAGCTCGTAGTATTCTACCCATGAGATACTACTAGATTTAGCGGGCGTCTGTAAATGCTCGGCCTGCCCGTGACGCAACACGTGTTCCGTCCACCATACCGCCCGCTCGAGCGAGCTTAGTGGCTGATCGTGCATCAATGAACGTAAGCGCAGTATATTTTCACGGTACCTGGAATAAAATAATCCATATGTTAAGCTCAACAATTCTATGTGATTTCTTCTAATGTAAACACTTTTGTAATAATAACGTTATTGCAAAACTTGCGTTCAATTTAACAGAAGATAAAGTAATAAAGAAACAAAAGTGGTATTCAAGAAGGTCTTTTGTTGAATTATATATATCTATAGTGCTAGTTGTATGGTTTTTAGTAATGTAATGGATCCTGGGATAGAATAAGATTTTATGCCTGACCTACTTATCTAAACATTTAGAAGGTCTAATGAAAATTTGTTAGATTTGACACTGCTGAGTCAAAAAGACCTTCAATAAAAGTTAAGGACTCACGGAGATGTTTAGTTTAGTTGATTAACCTCTAAATATAACTCTTGGAATAGCAAAGAGTTCCAGTTCTCTTATTTTTTTTACTTAAAATACTGTTGTGTGATTGAAAAACGTAAGTTAATGTGCTATAGTAATCGTATGACATTTATCAACAAGCATTAAGGATATTATCGCTTTATGGCGGTTCACTGTAGAATATAAGAATATACACTAATTACCCTGCCCACGGCAGGTAGTCGCATCTGAATTCCGCTATCACAAGAACAAATTGAACAATTAAGGAAATTTGTTACATTACAGTGATTCAAAGTAACAAAATTTGCATGTTAAACTTACTTTTTAGTACTGATTACATTTTCTATAGCAGTCCGTAAATTCTCTTCAGTTATGGTCTCCAAATCGAGTTTCATGCCGATTTCATGATGTACATACTTCTCTGTGTTGAACCATTGATCCCCTAACATTGGTATTCCAATAAGTGGAACACCACTAGTAATTGCTTCATCTGTCGATTGTAAGCCACCTTGGGTTATAAAAAGTTTGATTTTTGGATGCTCTGGAAATGTGAACACAACAAAACTAGTAAAGAATTTGTTGGTAAAATTATAAAACTGTTGTCTATAAAAGTTTGTCTGTAAGACAAAGCTTATTACAATAATAACATTAAAATTACTTACTGAGTAAGTCAGATTGCGGAAACCACTTCATGACCTTTACATTATTGGGCATGCCATAAGATGCGTTCTTAACCCACTTCCACAATACGTCATATGGAAGCTGAGAAAATACATTTCGAAATATGTTAAGTTTCTCTTGAGGAAGAAACGATGGGTTCACATTGGTACCTAAACTAAAATATATAACTCCGTTGCGTGATGAATCTAGAAAAGAAGATAAATCCTGAAAGAATTTATTTATGTTTTTTTACTGTTATAAATTTGTTGAATTCCATAAAATTTTCCCGCTTACAATTCTATTGGTCGTTTACTTACTGTGGGTAATTTTTTCTGGGGTTCTTGATGTAATCCACCAGTGTATATGATACTTGGTGGAACGGGTCGATTATTATCCCAAATGGGATGAATATTCAAAAATAACATTTGTACATTTTCTGTTAACTTGGTCAAACCAGGAAAACTAGAACCGAATATTCTCGTTAGAGCTTTGTTTTCCTTTGCTTCCTGTTCTTTATTTAATTGCCTTAATTGATACTCATTGTAAAGCTCAACGATTTTTTCCCACATACTTAGGTTGTGTATTCTCTGTCGTAAAGGTAACGGATAGAAAAACGGATGAGTTGGAGCGCCGAAGATTTCGTAATTCCCAATCATTCCACCGAATGAACTCACTAAAATAACAGGCACATTATAAATATAAGATAACGACAAAGCAGGTCTAGCGCAAGCTTCCAGAAGTAATAGATCGAAATTATTGCTTTTGTTGTTCAGAAGTTTTTTAAATTCTTTCGTTTGTATTTGTTTTTCGAAAATTCTCATGATAGCATCGAAGGCTACTTCTAGTTGCAAACGTAAGTCATCCTTCTTTCCAGTTGCCGTTGATACGAACGGTTTCCAATGACTGTAGGAGATTTCATGAACGTTTATTTCCGTGAGCCTTTCTGGGGTATCTCCACTTGGGAATGCCGGATCAGGAGTCATAACGACTACTTCGTGGCCGCGTTTTGCCAGTTCCTGCGTTAAGGGACGAAACACCACTTGATGACTTATCGATGGAATCGGAAACACTGCCAAAATTCTCGCAGTCATTAACTGTTGTATAACTAACCAGAAAACTGATAAAAGTATTAATATTTTAAACATTTTCACTTGTTTGTTTTTTTAATGAACAAAGCTTTTACGTTGCTTCAAGACCACTACTGGCGATTGGCCGTCGTATTGTAATATATAAACTGGTCTAACATAATTACATATGTTTTCAGGTAACAACTCCAAATTGATGCTTAATAGCGGTGTAGCAATTTTGAATTATCTATCGTGATGAGGACAAAAATATGAGCATATATGTATTCATTTTATTTTACACATAGTGAAAAATATACAACATGTGTGCGCGTGTATGTAACATGTTTAGCACTTAAGTGTTTTAAACATTACTCTTAATAAGCATGTAACCCTTCGTAATCTTTCCCTTTTATAAATTCAGCTATTTTACAGATTTTACCGCGTTTTATAAATCGTACACAAAATGTTTAGAGCACCATTTTACGATCAGTCACGGGATAGACCGAGTCGATTTACGTCAATATTAAATATATTAAACACCTATTACAAAATGTAAAATTATATAGGTCTTTATACTAAAATGCCAATTTTAAATGATTTTATTATTTTTATAGTTCTAATCTCAGTTCTTTTGATAATCAAAAGTTTTTCGAGGATTTGAACTGGCATCCTAGTTACATCGGTGTACTGATAAAAAAGGAAACTGGCAGCCAGACCCAAGCAAGTTGCTTTGCTGAGGTCTTGCTGAGGTCTGCACAAATCCGGAGTTCTAGATCGTATTAATCTTTTCATTCTTTTTAATAACGATAGTATGCAGTTTTTGACTTTCAATAAGAGCTTAAAATAAGCCTATGTTGAATAAATAAATTTTGACTTTTTGACTTTGAATAATTATAATGTAGGTATTTTATGTTGTGAGGAGAAATAACTTACATTACTATTATTAATAATATTAAAAAATTCGCTGTTAAGTTCGCAGTTCTTTAGGTAAGCAGAAATAAAGCATAAAGTAAATTTAATCGTCAGTGATTCCGCCCTACATTATGAACCGTGATAGCTCAGGTTCCGGGCGCTCGCCTTTAATTTGATATACTCGAGTAGCCTGAGTTGGATCCCCGGTCCCGGCACCAATTAAATTTTTAATTTTAATTACTTATCACGCGCTCAGTGGTGAATGAAAATATCGTAACGAATCGCAAATTAAGTTCTTAACATAATTACAACTTAAATATAATACACTAGCTTTTCGCCCGCAGCTTCGCTCGCGTTGATGCTCTTAAATAAATATCTTTCCCCTTTAAGAACCCTTTATAACCCTTTATCCAATTCAAAAATAGCCTATGTCCTTCCTCAGGCTCTAGATTATTTGTGTACCAAATTTAATTTAAATCGGTTCAGTGGTTTTGACGAGAAAGCGAGACAGAGCAACTTTTACATTTATAATATTAGTATGGAAGAATACATACTAATAAAACCTTAATATATGTAAGACCTTTAAGTCAATTGTAATAAAAAAATAACTTACATACAGTAAATAGATTGTGTTGATGCATAATATGAAGCAAAGAAAAAATATGCTTAGTAATGGTAATTATTACAACCCGGAAGATAATTTTGCATTCTCAAGACAAAACACGTCATTCTGAATGAGTCGGTGTTTATTGCCTGCTTATTATTGGTTGTAACCATGTTTTTATGACTTCTAGGGATAATAGTGTATAGTAGCAGTTTTAATGTTCATAAAACCTAGTTAACTTGCATTTGTTTACTAAGAACAAGTATATTTCTGATAGCAAAAAACAAAGCGACTTCAAATATCTCTCTTACAATATATTTTAAATTTTTGTCTTTTTTCAAATTTCCTCGACATATCTCCGAAGCCTAAGGTACAATAACAATGAAATTAGCATAGGATCTAAACCAAACGCAATGCAAAAATAATTTTTAAAATCGGTTTATAAAAGACGGAGTCCTGAAGTAACTAGCATAGAAAAATAGAAGGGAATTATCCATTAAATTGTAATAAAATATCTTTGTATATAAATGTACAAAAACTTTCGGCGCTGTGGGATTCGAACCTGTTCTGATTTCGCTCATTATTCATGAGAACAATGCGTTAGTATAAAAGTATAGAAATCATTCCATGACATTTCAACATGTTTTTTTTGGAGATGTCTTTAATATCATTTGAAGCTTAAAAAAAGTACAGAGCTAGGGAATTATCCAAATCTTAAAAAAAATGTGATTATATAAAAAATTATTAATTTAATTTGAAATTTTATTAATTTTATTTTGTCTCGTAAAGATATTACTCCAAATCGTTGAAATAATTTTAGAATTGGTATCATAAATTGCAAAAGACTAAAACTTTTTCTTGTATCCATATTTATGAAAACGGTAATATTTTTTTTCATCAGTACATTAAGAAGTGTCCAAAATTTACGTTAGATTTATTTACATTCGTTGCAGAATCCATGTGAACTCCGGACATTTAATAAATTTCTACAACTTCGAAAGTCCAAAAAGAAAAGCAAAAACTTTACGAAGTTAAGACTTAATTCGACACAATATAAAAATATGATTCCCGTACATTTATGTCACAATAATGTATGATTCATGGACGGCAAACCATGTTATCGATTAGCAAACATCCAATCAACTTACTACGGTATTTTACCGATTTCCAATACACTTTTAATTCCGTCTCCCGAATTAAGCACGTTTATACGAGGGTCTACGATCGCAAAACAAAAACCTATGGCACAGGTCATTTGCTTTTAGTGTTCTGTTCAATACAATTCCGATATCTTTGCAAAAAAGGCAAACGACACTATTTTGCCTTTTTTCGCGTTATCGGATGGCAGCTTACGTTATTGTTGGAAAAATTATAACTTACGAAATCGTATTCTAGTTAATATGTTAACCACATATTAATTTTAATAAGATTTTGTTGTAATGAAATAATAGTTATGAAATAAAAATTATAGGAAAAGTTAAGATTTACTGTAACGACTATTAATTGTTATAATTAAGACTGTAGTAATCCGCGATTACGATCTATCCATGCAGTACCGATTGACGTTCGTATACTGTCAATAACTTCAGAGGGAATTCAGGATTGCGATTCTTTGATGGAGAATACAGTGCGTGAGACAGGATACTTAACATATAACAAAAAAACCAATATCTTCGTTCACTATATTGCGTTCTTAGCATTGCCTGTACAATGGTGCCATCTAGTGTGCATATTTTACAGCATTCGATATTGTATTTCAATACACTCAATTCCCTACGTTTTATAGACGATGAAAAAATTATATTATGTTATAAAAATTATGCATATTCTAATTATTTTTAAAGAAAAGAAGGCAAATACGAGAACAGAGCACCCTGATGTTTATTTTATTTTTATTATATTTTAAAACTGATGTTTTTGCTTTCAGTCCCGAGACTATTAAAGCTTCATCGGACGCAGAACCGGTGGGCTAGCCAGAACCCACGGGTTTGGACCCTCCGCTATGGGTAGGGTCGCGCGTGTGCTCATGCGTGGTTTAACTACTATGGTGTGTCATCTAAGGGCCGTCGAGGTCGCCGGTTCGGACCGAGACCCCGACGGCCGTCGACTGTGCATTTAGCTAATCGGTGGCTGGGAGCGGTGAGAACCGCCCCGGAACGCGGGTGTACCTTGTGTACGCGTTGTGTGGGTCTCGCCGTGCTCGGAGGCGACGGCGAACTGGTGTGATTCTTGTTACACTAACTGTGGGTGTAGTGTTATCCGGCGGGACCCCCGGCGGTGGGTCCATCGTATCTAAGTCCTCTTCGTCGACCGGGTCGATGAGGACGTTTCGCGAGCGACGCTTGTTTACGTTCGCGTTTATGTCCGGTTGGTAGTTTGCTGCGCTTACCACCAGAGGGTTGGGATGATGCTGGACTCTATCGAAGAACCGTTTTGTCAAATCTTTAAAATGTGCGCGAATCGTCGGGAGTCTGCAATCGCTGTGCAGGTCGACGTTGCGCTGATACCACTGCGCACCGGTTGCGCGGCGGATAAACTTATTTTGTACTATTTGCAACTTGTACAAGCGAGTAGGGTGCGTGTGGGTGAAGATCGTGCATGCGTAGCACATAATAGGTCGTACGCAGGTCTTATATAATAATAATTTGTGCCTTAAGGGCATTTTACTTTTAGCATTAGTTAAATTGTGTAGCCGGCCGGAGACGAACGCGGCTCTATTACGAACGTTATTAATGTGCGTAGTAAATGACATACGCGAGTCGAAAGTGACTCCTAAGTATTTGACCTTTTTCTCCCAGGGGAGCGGTTGGCCATAAAGGGATATTTGCCCCAACTTTCTGCA